AGCCAGTTCCTCAAAGAGAAGCCTATAAATATAAGATGTGAAAGACATTTGAAAATATTGTCCCTGAATAGAAATTCATGAACATACTTTATAAGGACACAGTCATATGGAACTGAATATGCCACACCATGTTATATCTGTACAATTCAGTTAGGTAACATTGTAGTCTAAATATATTTATCAACCTAATCGTTAATCTGGTTGATTGGCACATTAAAGTCCTGAGTTCGATTCCCTAAATATTACGGTGGGTAGTCCATGAGATGGTCATTGAACTGAATCTAGTTGTGCAATGTGTTTGTGTCAGATCAACATGTTATAATACTGCCCCTCAGTAGAAATACGTGATTAATAAGGACGCTGCCATCTTCATAATTCTTGTAGTTAACGCTGCAGACGATGTTAATCTTTTATCGAGGGTTATTTAAAGAAGAGGTTACAACAGTCTTGGAACGTTAAAACCCTGTGTTTGATTCCTTAAGTATTACAATGTGTGAAGTGTATCAGATATCAATAGAACTGAATCTAGTTGTGCAAGGACTGTTTGTGTCCTACCGTTGCCAGTCGAGGAGAAAGGGTTGTCCCAGTTCCACACCAGCTTAGGGAAGCTGATATCTGTGAAGACAGGTAGGCTGAGAGCACAAGGCTGGTCTGCCTCAAAGCACAGCGATAGTTTCAGACTCATCAGATACTTCCAAGCATGAACAAGGTCGTCAATCTTGAAACTGAAGAGGTACACACACTGATGTAACTTGTACATACACACAATCTTGTGGTATTACTGGACGATTTTATGCACATAACTGAAAGGTGTTTTGTCTTCATTAATTGACTTTACTGCGTTAGTATTGTGGTTATTAACTGCAGAAACACATGGTCATCCCCACCTGGTTTGTATGAAGGAGTACACACGAGAGACCGTAAGACTGTGATACAATGCGTGTTGAGATAGCACAAGGATCGTTTTGAGGGACGTGGGTCCAAGGTATTATATTCTGTTTGATGGTTTAACCAGACCTAAACATTATGCAAGCTCTTGCATACTTCACATACCAACTTTATGCTAAATAACAGATAGGGCAGATCTTGACACAAACATGGACCATACTTAATATAACTCAGACATTGTATCCGAGTAATATCAACTGTCATGGCAGTACTGTCAGGATTTCCTCGTTAAACAAAACGTTCAATATGTTCAGTATGAAAGATTTTTCATTCAATGTGAGTATCACATCATGTGTTTCATATAGTGTATCGAGTCAACTGACTTCATGTCAAGCTGAAGTGTAAAGATTAGTTCCCCATGCAAAATATGATAAATGTACAGTTTGTACACAATTAATTATTGAACTCACCTCAATCTAACGACGCCATTAAGGTTGAAATTTTCCCATTCACCTGAAAACAATTAGCAACATTACTTGTAAATATAGTCAAATGTATATTATATGTCATTTTGTCTCTGTCAGTAAAACTGTGTAAAAGGTATGTTCCTATACATACACTGTTGTTCAAAATATACCTTCCATCTGTTGGAGTTGTTTTGAATGTAATGTGCACACATCTGCATGATGTTCATGTTGATGCAAAGAGACTTACCCCACTTGTAGTTGAACAGTGAAATCTGAATTGTGAGTTTCTCGATACCGACAGTCAGGACAAGGTTCCGTGTGTCCAGGAGGATCTTGAAGTTGAAGGACATCCCCAGACTGACCATATCCACACAACAGTCCAGTCCAGTGCAGTAGTCGGGTATGTGACATGAAAGGCTGCTCGATAGGGTTGGGAGGGTCATTGGTTTTGGACATGCTGAAATGCCATAGAATACCAGATTATCCGCCAAAGCAAATGCCCCAGGTTAAGATATGCAGTACATAAGCTGAGGATTTCTTGACATTTTGTGAACAACAGAGGTTCCTACGTTTAGTAGCATCGGTATTTCTCTACATGTGAGCGATTGGATGAGAATATTAATTTGCAAAGCTACTGAAAATGCGTTCTAGGGCCATTTACCATTATTCCACCCTGTAGCGTCCGCCTTGTAAATCCCCCTCTGTCTGTCACACACGGGGTCCAGGAGGTACTCAGAGATGCCCAGGGCTAGAGACAGCTGGAACCGGAATGCTGAGGTCAAGACTTGACCAATGTTCAGATTGTTATTGTTCAGCCAGTTCTTCAGGGAGAAACCTGTGCATAATTGAGTATAATAAGATAGTGTACATGCATAACCCTCATATCATGTCAATGTATAACATAAAATAACAAGTTGGATACATTGAGTTTACGTTAGAAATCTACATTCACCATTAGACTGTGATGTAAGCCATGGTGGTGTCTTCTTTTATTTTCGTATGGGATCTTATTATATATTGAATTACATACTGAGGAAAAATTGGTTTATCTTTAATGTAGGCCATGGGAATGTCTTCTTGGGTCTAGTCGACTGATACGCTGAGATGATCAAACCAGGTTTATCATCAATGTAGGCAATGGTCATGTCTCTTTTTGTTATTGTTTCTCGAGTACAAGTCTATTGTTACTTTATGTATACTCAAACCAAACGAAGTTATGTACTACATGATACACAAAGCATGATGCGTGGGATATTCCCTTACACAATGTAGTTCTTATGTTTAACTGTTGTAATACCCATTGTCCACTGACTTACCTTTTAGGGACAGTGTTGAGTTCCAGTCACATCCAGGATTGGGGAATCTGGCTTGGTTTAACACGGGTAGGGTCACCAGACACTTCCCAACAGCCTCGAAGCAGGCACTGATATTGAGACTGACAAGAAATTGTTTCTCTCCCTCGAGGTTGTCGACAGTGAAACTGAAAATTAAAATTTCGCGTTTTTCCACACTTTCCAACCACAATGAACTTTGATAACAGTAAGTTATGACTCACAATCACCATTTAATTTAAGACTGATTAGGTTAAGATAGGCAGGTTTACTCCAGGACATATTCGATCGTCTTCCCGAGGCAAGAGAGGTGACCCTTAAAGTCCAGTTTCAAAGTCTTATAGTCATGTTACTCTCTTGCCTCGGGAAGATGTATTCGATAGGAAGCCACAACAACAGCAACTTACTTCAACGTTATATAAATATTTGAATAACTTACTCAGCTCGGAATATTCCCTTCAGATTGAATGATTCAGATGTTCCTGAAGAAAGACAAAGGTAAATACTGTTTTGAAAAGTATATATAATGGCACATTGACCGTTCATAATAACAAAAGAATATTGGTTGTTCTGGTCTACAACTTTGTCACCAAGGCTTATGATTACGTCTACACCATGTCACGAAATACATCACTTTCCGCCTACCCCACATGTAGTTGAAGAGCAGTCTGCTAAACTCAAGCTTCTCTATGGCCAGTGTGAGGGTCATCTTGCAAATGTCAAGGTCGACCTTGAAGTGGATATTCCGACTGATGAGAGGCACACTGAGACAACAGTATATTCCTGTACAGTGGTCGGGGAGACTACAGGACACAGAGTCTGGTAGTGGTGGCAGTGAAACCTGTTTTGGGCAGTCTGCAACAAAACACGACTTAGGAATAAATATCACTTCGTTTCACTGCATAAGTGTCCAACAACTGTTCCTAATCAAAGGCTTTTCATCAGAAACAATGACAGTTGGCTTAACGGATAATGAATTTAGATCTATGCATAGACCTTCAGAGTGACAAAAGAAGATTCTCAAGATTGGATGACAAGAGAGATGTAATTCAACATTCCAATTGTAACTGTCGGACACTATTCAAGCAGCTTCAGCCTTTGTTGTGTTCATTTCACACTTTTACAATCGAGTTTGCTCTTTCTTCGAAGATTGCCAAAACGTTGTTTTGTCAAGGTTACAACATAAAAGACCTAAGTAAAATTTAAAAGACTGGAGGACATTTCCAAATTGTAACGCATCAATGGTCAAAAATAAGTCAATGCAATGTCCCATTCTAAGTATCACATGTTCCCGTCTATGTTTGTTCAGGTGACCACTTGACTTGTCTTTGCATGTGTTTGTTACGAATGCTCCCTGTGGCACAGGAACAGTGATTTTATCATGCCTTTATAGTGTCTTTAACAAATATTTCTTTATGATTTTTGGAAAAGGTGTTGTTGCCTTTATTTTGTTTAATTGTTTGTTTTGTTTAATGTTCGAAAAATTGTGATTTTTCTTAAAATGTCTCCTGACCTGAGCTCCAACCATTTGCGCCTCGCCCGTCCATGGAGCACGGAGGTTCCAGAACATAGTCTGAAAGACCCAGAGTGTCCAACAGCTTGTCTACCAGGGCGTCCGTCAGTCTGTCCGCCAATGCAGCGCCTTCTGATGTCACAAACTCACTCAGGGAGAAATCTGAAGCAAAGTAACATCTTTTAACATATTCTTATATAAGTTTATGTCTTTATTTACAGTTGACATGTTGTAGCACGTAGTCATTATATTCTAATATGGATATATCTATGATTACAAATAACATGATTGAGAAACACTATGCAATTATGCCCTATAAAATACTTCATTCTTATACATGCAAATAATAATCAATGTTATTCACAAGGACTCCACTGGAATGTTCGGCCGACATCAAACCAGCAATATGAGAAATAAATATAAAGGCTACCAATGGTACACTAACTTTGTAGCTGTTTGGTGGCCTCCCAGTCACAGAGTGGTTTAGGTAGGATCATGTCTGTGAACACAGGGAAGGTAAACTGACACTCCTCTCCAGCAGTCAGACACACCTTCAGGCTCAGGTTCACCAGGAACTTCTTCTGACCCGAGTTGATGGTATATCTGGAAATGTAAATATTTCTTTCTTACAACTCAAACTATAATACAATCAACTTTCAAGACGGCAATTAACATGACAATGGAAAGTTGATTCAGATCTAAACCTAAACATTCTTAACAGCACCAGGTGTGTATCTCTTTCAATATCACCTTTTCAAATTGATTAAATATTAACTGTAAATAAATAACACAAATACTTACTCAAGTCTTACAAGTCCTCCAAGATCAATAACTTCTGTTTCACCTTAAAAGAATAAAATATTATTAAATCAATACCAACGCTCTTATGAACTCACTTGTACAAATGACAGGTGTATATTTAGAATTTATATTAGTTAAACCCAAACCTTCCCCGAACCTAATGTGGACTACCATTTCAGATGAATTAGAATTTGATGCGATCATTCCCTATGTTTGTCTTCTTTAAACATTTTGTTACCAGAAAAAGGATGGAATGTGTGCAAAAGTTTGTGAAGAAGTATTCCACAAGTTGTCATTTTGCCTGCTTTGGATAGTGAACTGATTGAGTATCTATTGCAACAGTGTAACATGTACCCATCTGATGTTATCAATGTTCAACGTACTCCATGTATAGTAAAACAGTGTACAAACTACCCCATGTATAGTAAAACAGTGTACAAACCACCCCATGTATAGTAAAACAGTGTAAAAACTACCCCATGTATAGTAAAACAGTGTACAAACCACCCCATGTATAGTAAAACAGTGTACAACCTACCCAACGTACAGTGAAACAGTGTACAACCTACCCTACACATAGTTGAACAGTGTGCAACTTACCCCATGTATAGTTAAACAGTGTGTGACTGAACTCCAGCTTCTCAATACCGACTCTCAAGTTGTAGTTGCAGGAGTCCAGGAAGAGGTAGGCATTGAAGTTCTGTTTGACCTGTGACACCTTGACACAACACGTGACCCCGGTACAGTAGTCGGTCACGTGACAGAAGACGTTGGGAGGCAGAGCTGGCAGGGTGATGTTTTCAGGACAAGCTGCAAATTTTAAACATATCTAAACTTATTATACCATATGACTGGACACTCAACGTACACAGTCAAACAGTCAAAATTCATTAGATACATTCTTACTTGATTAAATCCATCAGTTTGTTTTCAATACCCGTAAGTCCCAAGCCTCAGTATTGGAAAAGGTACATACAGGTTTTTATGCTGAAATATTTATAATTGTATTTCTAACTTGATGTACATAATACAAATACATTCCTATCTAAAATAATTTCTTTTTACTGATAGCATGTTCATTTAATAAAATATAAATATAGTTATTTTGTACAATTTCATATATCCATAAGCAGGACAAATTTAAACTAATAAAAATAAAAGTCGGTTTCAACACAGTTAAATTTACAAAGTGTACTTTTGGTTAACAGTTCTTGGTGCATTGTGATGTCGATTACAAACAATTTCTAAATATGCCAGATTACCTAAACTGTGAACGCTCGTCTAACACCCTCTTATGATAATAAAACGATTTATCATTCAGAAGCCGTTTACATGCATATAGTTGTATTATATCTATATCCAGCTGATCTCTTTCTTTAAGACCCGGATTTAAGCGGCATGCATGACCATTGGCATAATCTTGGCATCAACATTTTTTTTTTAAATCTGGTAAACAAATGTTGCAATGAATGTATGAATCTCAAAAGTTACCCAAAACCTATGAGTCAATAAATCAATAATACCAGCAGGTATTGACCAGTAAAGCATTCTCTAAATTAAACATCCCAACCATGTTTCTAAAATAGAATCCACAGACGATGATGAAAATAATTAATGAACCATGGTAGATGTGCCATCAGCGACATCACAACATAGTGATTCATTCCATGGGACACCTACCATTGTTCCATCCCCCCACAGCGCCCCTGTACGGTTCCAGGTAGTCCTGACAAGGTCTGTCCAGTAGGAACTTTTTGATACCGAGCTCTTCCAGCAGGACTGCTGACAGTTGAGCTGTGATCTCACCGCCCTTTTCCCCCAGCCACTCACTCAGAGAGAAATCTGAAGAAAAGGACAAGGTTCCAGACAAATTAGTATTTAATACAATAACTCATATTTGAAATCTGTGAACTGGCTGCTCAAGTGAGTGAGCATGGTTTTAAGCAGCTTTTAGCAATATTCCAGCAATATCATGGACGGGGACATAAGAAATTGGCTTCACACATTGCATCAATGTTGGGAATCGAACCCAGTTTTTTGGCGTTACGAGCGAACGCTGAAACCACTAGGCTACCCCACCGCCCCTCCGATGTTTAAGGTCAAAATAAGTATAACTTAGTGGGCCACAGGTTACTACTTTATGTCAGTTTCCTTCAAGTGAGTGGGTAAATCTTAATGTTCGATGTTCAATGTATATATCGCTATGTCGCCATATGCCGACAGTGTTGCCTTACTTGGTAGTTTGAATCCCTGGAACTTGGCACAGCCTGGCATGGGAAGTCGTGTCTGATTCAGCACCTTCAGATCCAGCTCACAGTCATCTCCCTCCAGACACAGACTCGCAGACAGATCCACAATGAACACTTGCTGGGACAGAAGCCGATCAATCTTGAACCTGTGAACACACCGATAGACAGAACAATGGACCATCTGTGGGAATTCAGAAAATGTCGAATATATCAAAGTCGTAGCTTTAATAAGCATTGATGTATTGGCCGAGATTGGTCTGATTTTAATGTTTGGTTTTCTAAATCAAACTCTTTGGACCCATTTGGCAGTGTGTGTTTGTTTGTCTCTTGAAACCCGAGTTGATACCAGACAATCAACCAAGTCACCAAACCTTTCCATCTGGACATTGAGTTATTTTTAAAATATATTGCAAGTAATTCTATGGCATTTAATTGACTACCCAAGTAATGTGTGTTGCGTTATTTGCTTCCATGAATCTTCAAAAATTAGATCACCCCTCCATTGGATTACTGTTTTCCAATCGCTTGATGACAGTGGGTTTATTCTTCTAAACGATGTCATTCATGTCATTCATGTCGTATATTCTCTATAATTTGTGCTCTTGATTACATAAGCAGTAAAGTTAAAATAGGAATTAACTACCGGTTTCTACATTATTTGTATATCTCCCTAAACGCAAAAATGGTGGAATCAATTCTTAATTGAAACGTTTCGAAATTAGTACATGAAGGTAACCAGCTTTAGTCAGATTATATACTACATGTGTATAATCATTTTTGTTGTCTGAGCCAAGCGAAGTTTGCTAGAATGTCGATTTAATTGCATTTAAAAGCCCCAAACATGTTATGATTGCAAAAGTATAAGATGAAAAATAAGCTTGTCAACACTTACCTCAGTCTGAGAAGAGGAACACCATCGAATGTGATTACTTCTTCTTTTCCTGAAACAAGATTTGACTATGTACCGTACACCCCCAAACACATTAACGTCAAAATCACGCAGAAAACATCATGATACAGGTCCTCCTTTCAATACAAAAATCAATATATTTTAGTTGTCTTCTTTCGTCATTATTTCACATTTTTCGCGCAGAAAAACTTTCATTTTGTATTTTCTGTAAAGTAATAGCGTTAGAAATTGTTTCACATAAGACATACCCCACATGTAGTTAATAATGTTGTGCTTAAAGCTGAACTTCTCAATGGAGCCTTCAATAAGGTAGTTACAAAGGTCAATATTGAAGGTCGTGCGAAGAGACAGGTCAAAGACGTTACTAAGGAGACAACAGTCTATTCCCAGACACTTGTCATTGATGTGGCAGTTGGCGGGGAGAGTAATTGGTGGGAGGGTGATAGCGATTCCGCCCAAGTCACAATCTGAAATAAGGATGAAGATGATGATGATATTTTAAAGAGAAGCCATGATCCACGATACAGGTCTTGACCTGTTGAGCAATTTCTGTCAAAATGAGTGTCTATGTGTGATTGGGTAATGATTAATTTCTTGATTGGTATTCAACACAATATTAGATTTTACAGACAGACAAAAGGGTTTTTAAGTACCTTGACCCAAATACCAATGAATGCCACGTGGTCCCCACCCTCTTGTTACAAAATGTAAATCACACATCATTTTAAACAAAGAACTAAATCGTCTGATGAACCTTGTGACAAAGACAAAAACAAAACTATTCAGGGCATCGCGCATGCGTGCCTGATCGCCTAAATGTAATGTTATTAAAATATGTTATTCATAGTGTGTACAAATACGGTTACATAGTCTGTGTGCTCTATTTTTGTGATGAAAGCGACTTATGATAATGACCATTCTTCCAGTTGCCCGCATCAGCTGGCTGGTACTTGAGACTACTGCGGTTACAGGGTGGATCCAGCATCTTGTCCTTGATACCCAGCTGTTCCAACAGAAGGTTCACAGCTGTCCGTGCCAGACCTTTGGTCAAGTCCTGTCCCCTGGCCTTGGCCCAGTCTGATATACTGAAGTCTGGAGAATACAACATTATAGGTAGGTAGGTAGGTAGATAGATAGGTGTAAGGGAGAATTTTGGTATGGGTGAATAGGTAGGTAGGTTTAATGGAACACTGTCACACCAATTACACCCCTACCCCTACACCTTGCAATCATCCCAACACCCTACGCCCCAGATCCCCATCTTCAAACAGTTTAGCCTCTGAAAATTACAACTATGTGTAACCTTACAAAAGTAATAACCTTCCAAACTGTGATACTTTGTCATTGAATGTTTAACCAAACTGAGTGGGTAGCTATATGTCACTACCATAGCTATATGTCACTGGTGCATACATTTCAAACTTCAAAACAACATCATTTGTTCAGAGTTCTGTGGTATCCAGATTCCGTACAGGGGCACCATAAGCAAGATCTGGCTTACTCTTTAGATTCCACCTGGCATCAAGGTCACAGACAAGCTGTGGAACTTCGGTTCCCTTCATAATAGTCTTGAAGAAGAGGCAGGAATCCTTCTCCAAACACACCTCGATGTCAAGATCAAGGTGCAGAACCTTGTCTTTCTTCTTCAAACCAAATCTGCGTTAATAAAAATAATCAACTTTTTGATCGTATGGTAGATGTTGAAACCTTTATTTACACCCAAACTCATTTCTACTTTCCCCCTTATTACACCATAAAAGAGCATTACTGAGGCTCATTAATTACACTCCTGAAAAGTAACTTACTTGATCTGGAAGACATCGGCGATGTCCAGCACCATTGATGTACCTAGAGATAAACCATCAGATGATGAGACTCAGATAATAACTCGGATAATGATAATGAGCTTACGGAAACAATATTAAGGCACGTCTGTTTTGTAATGTAAGTACATAGAATGGCATTATATTCTTGAAAACCAGTATTATGTGGATCAGCCTCATATAACAAAGAAGATATTTTTTTCCTGTGATTGGAGTGAGTGAGTTAAATAAACCTCGCTACTACTTTTATCCGCATCAATAACAGAGCAGTATCTTAGCCGACAACAGGCCACGTACCAGCATCAAGGTCAATATCATCCCCTAACATTCCTATGGTGGTAGTTTTGTTCTCGATGGCAGCATAAATGACGTAGTCGCACATATCGACGTTGAGGAGGGCGTTGAAGGACATCTCCAGAAAGGGGACGTGGAAACAGCAGTTTATCTTGGTGCATGTGTCCGCTAGGTGGCAGTACAGATCTGTTGGAAGCTCGGGCAGCTTGCCAATACTCTTGGGGCATTCTGAAGCACAACGTGTAATTCATTCCCTTGTTGGTAATATTCTGTGTATGAAGATATCATGTTTTCTGTTGTTATTCAGAGAGGTACCTTCGACTGGAAACTTCTGGTCGTCAATGTATTCAGGGCCTTTGATTCAATCATTTAAACCCATGTTACAAGATTTTCTGCACGCAGAACTTTGAAATTGTCTTAGAATTGAGTGAGTGAGTATTGTTTTACACAGATTTTAGCAAATGGGCTTCATACATTGTACTTAATTGGGAATCGAACCAGAGTCTTCTACGTGACGAGCTAACACATTAATCATTAGGTTACCCACCGAAACGAAATTGATAAGTGTTTGGAAAATTAAACTTTTTATACCATTCCTCCAGCCGTCAACACTAGGGCTGTATGGTGGTCTAGACACATCACATCTCTGGTCCAGCAGGTACACGGAGATGCCGAACTTGTCAAGTAGCATCCTGGCAGCTGCCTGGGAGAGGGACTTCAGGTTGATGTCAAGGTCAAGGTCACGCAGCCAATCAGAAACTGTGAAATCTACAACGATAGGCAACACTCCCCTTTTAACCATGAGAACTAATTTCCAATGAAAACGACTTTGATTAACGTGAATTTTATCGCTACAAACTTCTTACATGCGAAACAAAACATGGAAAAACAATTTGCAAGTTTTAGAAACACTGATTAAGTTAATAAAATTTACAGTTCCAGTTAAAGAGGGTACAAATGAATACAAATGGAGTTCAAAGTTAGATCTTCTGTTCAGCAGACTGATCAGGAACACCTTGTCAATGAATGTAAACCAGCATTTCTGTGCTAAAGTGAACCTACTTTGTTTTGTGAACTCGACCAGCGCATTAGCATCACAGGCAGGTATCTTCTCCTGATTCATTAGCGTCATGCCTCCTTCTGGGTAACAGAAGCTGTCACCATCTATAGGAATACACGTGTGGACACTCAGGTCAACGAGGAAGCCTTGGGGATATTTGGAGATCGTGAATCTGGAATAGATAAAATACAAAGAAACTGTCACCGTCTATAGGAACATACGTTGGACACTCAGGTCAACGTGAACTCTTTGGGATACTTCGAGATCGTGAATCTGGAACAGAAAACATATACACAGAAACTGTCACCTTCTGTATATGGAGAAAGATTTGTTCAAGTCATAGCGATTATAAGGATTTTCTAAACGTGAAAAAGGTTACTCACTTAATTATCACTGGAGATGGGTTGCCATCACCTATTTGCAGTAGATTTTCAGACCCTAGGAAAAATATAAATGAAGCGCAAAATATTAAACATCTATGAAAGAACATTAATAAATAACATTTCAAAATGTATAGCGTATATTTTAAAACTAATGATTGCCACACGTATGTTTCATTTGCCCGAGACATTTTCGACATGGGATAAATCAATAAATGTTTGGCCATATTCCAGCCACACCATCACATATGCCCCTAGTTAGCACCTGAAATCACACCTGGATGTCTTCACACACAGATATGGCACAAGATAGTAATCAATAACACACATTGATAACTTAGAACAATGCACAAAAGAAGACGAAAAGAAGCTAATTCCAATTAGATGTCAACAGTAAAATGTCTTATGCCAGTTGTATGTCAACAGTCAAAGGACCTTCCCCAGTGGTATGTCAACAGTCAACATACTTGCCCCAGTTGTATGTCAACAGTCAAACGACCTACCCAAGTTGTATGTCAACAGTCAAACGACTTACCCCAGTTTTATGTCAACAGTCAAACGACCTACCTCAGTTGAATGTCAACAGTCAAACGACCTACCCCAGTTGTATGTCAACAGTCTTTCCTTATGGTAGTAGCTCCCGAAGCCGACCTCGACAGTGAAGTTACACGGTTCAAACTTCAGGAAGAAGGGGACGTGCTTGACGAGGGGGGTCTCAAACAGCGGGATGTCGAAGAAGAAGTCCACACAACACTCTACACCGAAACAGTTGTCCGGCAGTTTACAGTTGACGTTGTCCCGAAAACTGGCGGGTAGGAGCTTCTTGTAGTCTGGGAGGGACCAAGGGCAGTCTGAGGAAAACAGACAGTTTGAAGTCACTATGCCAAGTTAAAATATTTTTAACATAAATTTAGACTTTTTCAACTATATTAAATATTATAGTAATGCAAGCAATGTGGTCTACTCAACCACTTGGGTAGGTCATATAATATTTATGTGCGTGTATGAGGTCGTGCAATGAAACCTTATTTAGTCTCAAGGTCGAAGGACCATCGAACGTATATCAAGTTATCTCTCGTTCGGGACAAACGGAGTAACAAAAGTAAACGATAGTGCATCTAGAAACTGGACCTCAATCATTACATTACATAGCCTTAAAGCACAAATGTCATGTAATTAAAAAGTTCGAGCTAAGGTCTTACTATGTATTTATTAACAGGGGTCATAAAATGTTTGGATAAATGAAGTTGGCTTTAACTATTTACAACTTATAATTAAGTCTGAACCCCCAACAGGACATGGTTTTGTGGATGTGAAAGTTCGTGCTGTTATACTACCTTCTTTGTTGTTTAACGCCGCGCTCAGCAATATTCCAGCTATATGACGGCGGTCTGTAAATCATCGAGTCTGGACCAGACAATCCAATGATTTATGTCATGTGCATCGATCCACGCAATTGGGATACGATGACATGCGGCAACTAAGTCAGAGAACCTGACCACCCGTTAGTCGCCTATTACAACAAGCATTGTCGCCTTTTACGACAAGCATGGATTGCTGAAGACCTATTCTACCCCGGGTATGCACAGGATTGTTATACTACCTGCTTGGGGTGTTAATGCTGTACAGCTTCCGTCTAACAGAACTTTCTGAAAAACAGGTACAAATCATTGATAGGTACATTTTGCTTTTGAAAACCGAGTCTTGGGTGCACGTGGCACTTTCATTGTTGATATAGAGAATAACCACGAGCTACAAGGAATTACGGTTTATATGGCCCAAGTGAATGCATCGACAAAATGCACATGTGCAAATATCGGTTATGACACCCAATCATTCCACCCTTGTGGGTTATATGGTTAAATAGTTAACAATAGTTTCCACTGATCATATTGTGGCAAGGGACGTTACGAGTAAAAAGCATGCTACAGTTTCGCAACAAAGATCAGTTTGTGTGTTTGTAGAAAGTCAATAGTCGGTTCTGAAAACTTACATCGAGACCAAGTTTTTGAAACACCACATCTACAACTTCTCTGATAAGCTTCCCTCCCATTTCCTCTGCAAGCTTCTTCAGAGATCCGCTTCCTTAAATCAGACATTTATCAAATGGTTATGCATTTAAAGCTGACGATGTTACCTTTTCTTATTGGGCTGAATTTAGCCAAGTGATTGGCATTGTTAGAGATGTCATGCGCGTGATGAATGTATATCTACTAAACATTGGGTATATAGCGAAACCACGGTATCGACCCTATTGAATTCGTTTCGTATTGGTCAATATATTTCCTTACAGTATTCGATCGGATTTCCAGACTGCCTGGTTCCGACTAAGTGAGTTTAATTGCAGGAATGGTTCAGAATATTTCTAGTTTAAGTAATACAATGAGTTAATAAAAGTATTTTTACTGTTTTCGATGCTTACCCGGCAGAGAGAAGTTTTCATTACAAATAGGAATAGGAACATCCAGTTTTTCGATCAGCCAACTATCCACAATCGGTTCCGATGCTCCAACACTGATTTGTAGACCCATGTCAATCACAAAAACCTTCCTTGCTTCACTTCTGTCAATGATGTATCTGGAGAAGGGTAAACATGACACAGTGATAGTGTGGTCTATGATTGACTGACTCATATCTTAACTGCACTATTGGTCTAAGAAATCCGCTCGAAATATCTCAGTACCACACACATATACATTAAAGACATGACGCAAATGGTGATCGGGACTTAGTGTTGCTATTTGGCCTGTGAGAACTGTGCCTTGACGAGCTGAATCATTTGTATTGCTATCAACCACTTGTTTGGATAGTACAAATACGATTATTAAAACATCGATGTGATATCACCGCTTGAATTCATTTGTCTACTAATGTTATAGCCCCGTAAAAATCCGGGGTAGTATAGGTCTTCAGCAACCCATGCTTGACTTATAGAGGCGACTATGCTTGTGGTAAGATGCAACTAATGGGTTTGGATGTTCAGGCGTGCTGACTTGGTCGACGCATGTCATCGTATCCCAGTTGCAAGGATCGATGCTCATGACGTGAATCACTGGATTATCTGGTCCAGTCTCGATTTATTTACAGACCACCGTCATATGACTGGAACATTGCTGAGTGCGGCATTAAACAACAAGCAAACAAACTAATTTTATAAGAAAGGCACTTCACAAAGACATCAATGTATCTGTTAACAGTAGAGAGATTGATAATCTGCAGAGAAACAGTCACATACTCATAATATTGCTTTCATTTGAATTGTATAAGGATCAACAGTTTGCCACCATGCATATCTCCGGACATAAAACCTCACTCACTCAATCTCGCACACATCTATATTCTATGAAATAGGAAGAGAGTCTACAATAAACTCAATTATTGCTGACAACACCGTTTCCTCAAAGGGAGACCGAAGGGATATAACAAAGATACAAAAGGTGCTCTCATTGTCCTACCTTATGGAAACCGAGTCGTTCAGTTTAGTGGTCTTCTCTTTCCCTGTAAATGGAATGGCATACAGATTAGCTGGGCGTTGGGTTTTAGTTTGATAAACAGTAGTAATTTATATCTGTAAATGTGTTACATGTAAAGGGGATGAAGATCTCTATGAAGCAAACACGATGTGATGCTGACGCTTCTTATTATCAAGCATCATCGTATGTGGTGAAGCAATCGCATGCTTGTAACAATTGTACTTTTACTACGCTGGTAAAGGACATTAATTTGTTATACATGTCTTTATAGTAATTACGATAACACTGTATTCAACAATATACCACTATACTATGGATCTGCTGATCTTGCACATAAAAGAATCATTGAATCATTGACTCACTGAAATGGCATTGGTGTTATTCATTAGTCAGCTGTATTCAGATTATCATACAGCTTGAATCAAAGGACTCACAGTTTCTCAAAATGGTTTTAACTTACAAACCACTACCTACCCCAGGCGTATCCGAGCAGAAGAACTGTCGTTGTGCAGTCTTCAAAATTGACGGTCAATATGAATTTACAAGGGTCAAGTTGTATGTAGGCATTGATGGCCTTGTTGAAATTCAGCTTCTTGATCTTAATGTCAACACACGCATCAAACCGCAGACAGTCCGGGGCTATCTCCATGTAAACGATCTTATTGATCTTCTCGTTTGCTATTGTTGGGAGGGTCACTTTCCTGTTCAGCAATCTGCAAGCTGGAGGAACAAAATGACATGTGATTTAATTATAATTACCACACGTTGGATTTGTTTGAGGACTTGTTTATGATTCGAAATATATATATATATTTCATTATCGTTTTGTTCTATGTCTTCATGATAAAAGTTTAACATTAGTTGGATTGTTTAACGCCGCACTCAGGAATATTCCAGCTATATGACGGCGGTCTGTAAATAATCGTGTCTGGACAACCCAGTGATTAATATCATGAGCATCGATCCACGCAATCGGGATACGATGACATGCATCAACCAAGTCAGCGAGCCTGACCACCCGATCGCGTTAGTCGCCTTTTACGACAAGCATAGTCACCTTTTACGGCAAGCATGGGTTGCTGAAGACCTATTCTACCCCGGAATCTTCACGGGTATTTAACATTAAACATTCTGAACATTCATATTTCACATTCCTCTACGGAAACTGTTCTTATTGAATTAAAACTAAAAGCTTTCATTATTAGGAGAACACCATTTGTAACATCAAACACGTGGTTTTGCTACTGGACAAAATCTTTGTACAAGTATATGGATAACTCAAACATGTAATATACAATCTTTTCATTGTTACCTTGAGACCTGAGAACCCTTAAGAATTTCAAAGGTAAAGTGACCCACTTTCTTGGAACGATATATTTGTAAGGTAGACACAATTTTATGGATAACAACTTCTTTAATACTGTAAAAAGCAACGTTTAGGTATAGATCCTTATACCTTTGTCAAGCAAGACGCTTGTTACATTATTAAAGAAGTTGTTATCCATAAAATTGTGTCTACCTTGTCATCTGTCAACTTCTAAGTAATGCCTATCAAACAAATAATATATTTGCATTTGAACAGTTTTCCTACAACCCTTCTCACCCAGTGCAAAGTAAATCTGTGTTGAGAGATCATTGGGTGTATTGTGCCAGACTTTTCTTCACCAAATGGTATATGTTTTTTTTTTAAACCAGAACTTCTCCTTATCATGAACCGCTCACTTTTGTGTCCAACTCTGAGCCTCTGCTCAAGATCCTGTCTTGTGCCCGTGATCTGCAATCCCCGCTGCTGGAGCTTCTGCTCGAGGATATCCCGAGTCAGGGCCTCAGGTCTGGGACAGGGATCCGTTTTGCCTGGAGCCTTAAATGCAACCATGTGTACTTTCTAATTTTGTTACACAGTGGCACCACTTTAACTCATTTAGACCTGGCTACCTCTGATTGGGAGAAGCGGAGTACCGATATATACCGACCATAGTGTCGATTCTGCCGAGATCATGTACATGTATGTAAGATACAGTATCTTAAAGAACATATAGAGCATATTTAATGGAGGCTGGCCAATACACTGTTTATACTATCGTGTGACGAGGTCATGAGTGAAAATATCAACTCTAACACGATCACGAGAAAAAAGTATTATTTGTAAACATGGTCCCTTCTTTGCTTTTAAATATTTCAAATGGATTTACTATTTGTTCCTGTTCAACATATTTACAAAATACTGAAAGGTCAGTGAATGAGTGAATGAGTGAGTTGGTTTTAACGCCGCTTTTAACAGTGTTCAATTGATATCACGGCGTGTCAGCTTAATGTGAGAGGAAAGCCCGAAGTGACACAGGTCTCAGACGTTTATCACTTCGGTGAAATCCACGAGCACGGGAATGGTGCTGACAAACCTGGAAACATAACCGTGGCGAACCGGGGTTCGAACCCACAATCAAAGGTTTCTGGCGTGCCGAAGGAACGCAATTCTGCACAGCGAATCGCGACGCCTTCGACGACTGGGCCATCTGTGACGTGATTTTCTGTCACAATATTACCATATGTTAGCCATACTTACATCAGGGGATATGCACGGGATGACGCCAAGTAGTTCTTCGATGCCCTTCTTTATAGCATCTTTGGCAAACTTTTTTGAGCTTTCCCGAATTCGTCTCTTAATTGATTCCGTATCAAACAGACCCCTGTAATCAACTAGCAAAAGGAAGGAGCGGATGTTAGTTAGACTGACATACGAACAAAACTACCGAGCAGTACAATTTTCAGTCATCACAAACGACAGCCTCTCGACACCCCCTTTGTAAACAATAACATCCTATCAATTAGGATGTGCGCGCGAGATATTCACAAAAAGGTCGCGATCACTTGAACATTTTTGTATGCGATATCAGGTATGATAAACCTAGCATCGATCGAGACGTGACTCGTCCCGACGGTTTATTATGAACAGTTATGTATGTCTGTACGCTGTACTTAGGACGTCTCTTAAGTTCAAAGTAGTAATAGTGGTATGCTACCTTTAAAGCAAAAGTGTTTTCTGGTGGTTACATTACAAAAGGCTGTGAGTGAGTCTGGTTTAACGCCGGTTTAAACAATATTACAGCAATATCACGGCGGGGGACATAAGAAATGGGCTTCAAACATTGAACCCATGTGGGAAATCGAACCCGGGTTTTCAGCGTGACGAGCGAGCGCTTTAACCACTAGGCAGCCCCACCGCCCCTGACCTTGTATCAAACAAATATACTACCAGGCTTGTACGTGGCACTTCCCCAAAACTGGGTATGCAATTCATACCTGCGGTAAGGTATTAGATATCTTCCTCAGAAATAGTCCCGTTCGTGTTACATGAGAGGGGTTTTAAAGATATTTTGAGACAGTTTCTTCAAGATGATATATACTGATGACGGTATTTACCCTCTGGCCAGGTTATTGAGCCGTCTGGATGACATATTGGCAGAGGTGTTGGAAACTCGTCTAGGATGTTAAAGAAGGCGATGCAGTTGTCGTGGTCATCCTGGGAACAGAAGCCGGCCGCCACTGTGATCAGAGCAGCAGTGTCATCCTTCTCCAGCTTCACTCTGAAGAACAAATACTGAAGAATGAGGGACCTAGGAATGTGGGATACCTCACAGAGGTGAGACATGTATGTTTACAACTTAATGATGTCATAATAAACCACTCCTCCATTACAGCCTAGACAAGGCCATTACTCCAGACGATAGCAACATAAAGGAACAACGGTTACAACTACGGAAGTGATTTATTTCATTTCAGTCTGATCAGAGAGAAAAGCTCAAATTGAAGCAGACTTAGACGTTTATCCATTTCGATAGGTGTGAACCTGACAGACGAAAGGTTTTAATCAAGATAAATCTTGGTTTCGAACCATATGTCAGCGGATCCTATCAGTTTGGGGGCGTAACTCTGTTTGGTGAATTGCGACGCATTGGACCACTGAGCACCAGTGTGCTACATAGGTTACAAGGCAATTTCTTTCCATAGTTTTTACACAGTCTGTTTTGTAAGGCAGTCAAGTTCAGTTACGGAGTGGGGATTGTGGTGATTCTCTCCCTGAATCTAAAGGAAAAGGTTGTTGACGTCCATATTGTATGTACAGACGAATATGCTTTGAGGCAGTGAAAAGTATGTTTCTCATTAGATCCCTAGAATTGTTTTCAAAATGACCAGGTCACCAGGCAAATAGTCAAAAAACCCATTAAGAATGATGCAAGCATAATTCAGACAAGGGGTAGTAGATCTATAATCTATAATCCTTAGAATACGTATAATCTTGACTATCATAATACGGCTATAAAATGTGACACTTTGATTATAAATGGTCCACGTGACGATTTTGAACCTTTTAATTATACTCATTGGCTTTGAAATACGTTTATGGAATTTTCCTTCAGGTAAACGTTTCAAAATAACGTGTTGCATTTCTGAAGTCAAAGATCTCATTGAAGCTGTATTATATCACTGAAAACGCAAAGTTAAAATTTCAGTGAACAGTTAAGTGAGGAAGTAACTTCATACTTAATGACCAGCTCTATTCCTCCTAAGATATCCAGTTTCACATTCGTCGGAATAGTTTTCTCCAATCCTGTAAATATATTTTCCAGTATTATAGATAAGCATTACCATCTTTCATATTAACCATAAATGCATAATTCAAAGCAATTCAATATTTAAATTTTGCATTATGTTTTCCTTGATAATGTGAGGTGTATATATAAAGGGTGAATTCCACAAGTGTCACCAACCTGCATATATATCCTTCAGGTCACCGTCAATTCCAAACGACTTGTTGAACTTCCCAGCACCGACAGAAAATTTCAAATCGCAGGGGTCAAATCTTGAATACAATTTATAGGTTTTTCGGAACACAAAGAGTTTGAAATGTATGCAGCATTCCATCCCAAGACATTTGTCGTCAAATGTACAGTATATGTTGTTAGGCATGGATATCTTCATGAGAGGACAGGCTGCACAAAAACAAAAGAATATTAGCATTAAGGGAAATTTCACTTTAGAAACTTTTTTTTTATTCATATGGTTTTAATAAAAGCCTGCCAATATTGATGACGTTTAGTACATGAGGGAGTTGATCATATGTCCAGGGGTCCCCACATCCCGTCAGTAAGTTATATGAATGCCCTGTGTACTCACAGTTGGATGGCGTGGTGAGGGACTTGATCATATGTTCCCGGGTCCCCTCTGCCCTCATCCCCCTCTCGGTCAGCTCCGTCCTCAGTTGGTCGTCCGTCATCTGGTACGGGTTGAAACACGGCTTGTTGTCGATCATCTCCTGCAGCACAGAATCATGTGCACTTATTTATGATAAATGGTGTGTTGGTTGTTTCATGATACAGATTATTGTTAGTGGTTCAAATAGCTGGACAGTATATTATTACACTGATCTTCCATCACCAGTTAAGATCGAGGTTGCTTTGTGAGATTGTCATGGTCCAGGTAGCACGATACTCTTTTATAGGACAGATTGTCAGTCATCGTCCAGGGAGTTCGCCACAGTCCCACCAAACAGACAGTAGCAATGCTTCACATGAGTCCAGCATTCACAACAAAATACCTTTATTGTTCTTATGACCTCAGCCATCTTTTCCTGACTCTCGTCAAGGCCAAGAATCTCTAGAAGATCCAAGATAGTCCCCATTTTCAGATTACGGATAGAGAACTTCTTCATAAAAGCACCAGCCTTCTTGAAGAGGGTTGCCAGAGCTGCAATAAATATTTGATGGTATCAGAATGTAAGTTCATGTGAACGGCGGTCAATGAGTTCATAACTTGGAATAATAAATAACTTATTAAGTAGTTTCCCATCACGGAATATCTGCCTATAGAAAACATGCATACTTTACTGTACACTTTGAGTGTAGATTATTTAACCCAAGGCATCGATCTCTTCACAAAACACTGCCAGCAGGGACTGGGCATGAGTCTAATGAAGCCAGGTAAAAGTGCCATTCTTCAAACTCGATTAGCATTATCTACTCACCGCCATCTTTGGTTTTCTTGGCCTTTTCTTGGATTTGTGGTCTTCGAGCCTGCATCTTTTTGAACATGGAATCTGGCTTTACTGAAATTAAAGAGACGTAAAATATAAAGTAGTCACAACGATAGCAAGTAGTTGTACGATTAATTCTATACCATATGCGTATGTTTATGAATCACTATAAAACAGTGATACCAAGTGTTCGTGATAATTTGAACACCTGTGCTCAATCATGCAAAGGCATGTCAATTGCTCACCTGAAACAAAAACGGGGACATATGGTACAACTCAAAATAGGGAATTGTATCGGGCATCATTTTGGTCACTGATGTGATATCATCGACGCATTTAAGGCCAAGCACAAGTACTGAAAATGACCTCTGAAAATTAGGTACATCGTAAATGTCGCCATTTTTTACACATTGCTAAATCATCAATCACAGCGTTGTTTACAGCATGTTTTGAAATCAAAATTTCGGAAAAAAATTACTCGGAAAAATGAAGACTTTCCTCATACATTTTAGAATCAAATGACCAATGGTCTTTGTCACCAATACAAAGTGCCTAGATGAAATCAAGCAAAATAAATGAGGTGTGAAAACTAACGCTGTGCTCGAAAAACTGTACTTGTTTAGATTGTAAACAAAGCAAAATTGAGATTTTACACAGTGTAATATTTTCTCTTATTTTGAGCTATCAATTCGTCTATTCGTTCAAGATATTGGCTCAACATTTTCAGAATATGCATGGAAGGAGAATCGTAGGAAGATTTATGGAATTTAAAATAGATACATTGCAATGATTTGATATTTTCAACAGAAATTGTCAAAGTTCCCGTCCTGTGTGACGCCATGACTGACGCAAAATCACGCACAACGACAAGGGTATTTAGTGGAATTTCTGACTATTTCTGTTGGTTTCAATGAAAAATATAACAACAATTAACAGAACATAGATTGTCAGAATGTCTCTGATTACTTACATGTCATATTTATGTATATACGATTCCTGAATCAACGAAATTCCCCTGGTAAAATCCCGCCTATTGTTGACAGTGTACACGCCTTTATGTAAAAGTCGGTCACCGGTAGTGATGTCATACGTCAACATTGTTGTACATATTTGGTAATTTCTTTGAGGTGATGGTCCTTGAATGAGAGTGCACACGATCATTGTATCATGCTGTTTACAGTTTCAGTTATGATGTAGATTTTGCACATCTTTTATACATGTTTTCACACAATTAATTTCACTTTGGATGTTTGTCAATGTTCAAAATGCTATCATACGTAAATATAGGTCACAACATGTATGAACGAACCTTTGATAACCTGTTTGTTTGAACATTGTTTACATAAGAATTTATAAGTTTATAGTGTCAAATACGATATTTCTTTCCTTTGTTTTGTTTTGTTGTTTCCTTTGGACAAGTTTTACAAGATGAAGTGTAAATGTAACTGCAGCATGTACGTATTTCTTTGGATGTGCGATAGTCAATATTATAAGTTCATATAATCAATGTCCATGAAAAGCCGTTTCATTTTATTATATAACTAAAACTGAATATATTACTTTAACAAAATGGATGATATGTTTCGTTAAAATATATGCACACATTTCAGAACATTGATATCTAACGATTAGCCAGGTGCGCGTTAGTCACAAACAATTTACGAATTATTCCTCTCGTTTTGCATTTAGGAGATAAATATTTCGTTTTGTAAGATTTGCGTGATGTTATGCTGAATGGATGTATGGAAATTTGAACAAATTTCCGTACATCCATGTTATGCTGAATGGATGTTTGGAAATTTGAACAAATTTCCGTACATCCATTCAGCATAACATTACGCAAATCTTACAAAACGAAATATTTATCGACATTGTAACATGAACGTTAATTAAAATCGATATTAAGGAGGAACTAATTTACTGAGCGCATGACACAACAAAACTGTCGTTTGCAATACGTCTCCTCGTGCTCACCTTCGAAAAGATGCATGATATGGGGTGCCGCGAAACCGATCAATGGTTTCGAGGTACTCCAATAATGATGGTTCATTTTACGAAAGGGGTGGTCACATGTTCAAGCCCATTTCTTAGAAAATAAACAAACAACAGGAAATATCACAAATTCAATTCTTTATCACAGTTCCTCATCTTACTTGTAATTTGTAGTTATGCATATCTATAAAATACAAATAATCAATATTAGAAAATACGTACATACTGTTTGGCCCCTATACAAGATAGTGTCAACACGCCTGAAACTGAGGTGGTGACAAGAGACGTCAAACATGTGCGAGATGTTAGACATGCAGCTTTGCTTGGATGGAAAAGGTTGTTTACTGTTACAGTGGAATTGCATATGTAAAAGAGACCATGGGAATTACCAGAAGAATTAACCAGTGAAGTTATTCACGGGAGCAGTGGACAGGGGCAGGATATTTGTATCTTGGACAGGTACCAAATTACATTCGTTAGCGAGCTGCTGTTGTCCCTGAAGAATGTTCGAATAATGTCGTTTTTGAGCCGAGCTCGAGTCAATGGAATACGACTTCAACGTTTCATCGGTTTTGTGGCCGGTAATTTTGCAAATCTGTGATTTTCAATACCTGCGTTTGTCAGCAAAGTGACGGCAGTTGCCCGAAGACAATGGTTTGTGTTACGTGGTATGCAGTCTTGTGACTGGAGTTGCTTCCCCTGGCATATGTCAGCCATGCAAGTTCTAATAAACGCTGATGCTTTAACCTGAGTTGGTTATGACTATCCAGACATGTGTACAACATACATAGCACGTTACATGGTGGCAGCAGGTAACTTTCTCACTCCTCAATGAAACCACGACCTATTAATGTCAGTTTTATGTCTGAAATGCTATGTGGAAGCCGAGTTGTTTCAGACCACGTGCGTTCGTCTGCTATCATTCAAATGTCTCAGCAGTGATGTCACTCGCTGAAATGAATGAACACTTTAATCTATTAGCTTAATTTGACCTGATAAGTGACATTCTGCACACTCGAGAGATTCCTGTCTGCATTTGTCGATGTCAATTAGCTACAAGTGTGTATTGTCTGTGAAGATAGTCTAGCTTTGCTTCAAGTCTTCAAATATGGCCGACAATCCTCCTCAAGTTCAACGGCCTGTTAGTGGTATCAAACCTCCATCACCTCTTGTTAGTGAATCAAACATTGCTAAAAATTGGAAAACATTCAAGCAGAAATGGACAAATTATTCTGTACCTGCCAGGATATGGAAGGGAATATCAAGTAGATTTGCTCCTAAATACACTTGGTGATGAAGCCTTAAAAGTTTTCAATGGATTCCATTTTCAAACACCAGAAGCTGAGAGAACTGTCAAAGAAATTCTAGATAAATTCGAAGCATTTACTATTGGTGGAGTTAATGAGACACATGAGAGATACGTCTTCAATCTCAGAAAACAGAAGGAAGGAGAGAGATTTGAAAAGTTCTTAGGATCAATCCGTTCTCTTGTGAAAACCTGCAACTATTGTCAGAATTGTATCTCTTCAATAATAAGAGATAGACTCATCCTTGGAGTAAGAGATCCCGACACTCAGCAAGCACTGCTCAAAGAAAGGGAACTCACCCTAGAAAGTTGCATCTACATCTGTAAAGCCACTGAAAATGCGTCAGTTCAGCCAAAGTTGATCCGACCTGAACCTATCAATAGAGTTGCAATAGACTCTTTGAGATCAAGGCAAAAGAAGCCTCTTCGATCAAGTCAAAAGATGAATTTCCATCAAGAAGTCAGAGACCCCAATCTCAGCATGAAAGAGACTGTAAATTCTGTGGTTATTCTCATATAATGGCTTGTAAAAGTTGTCCTGCATGGGGCAAAAAGGCCACGAAGTGTCACCAGCTGAATCATTTTGCACCAAAGTGTCCCAGTAAGAAGCAATACAGCAAAGTCAACAATGTTGAGCTTCCAGATGAAGATTGGATAAATTCTGTGCATGGAGATTCAAACACAGACAAGCCTGCTAAATGTAGAATGACCGTGGAGGGAAGAGATGTCTTCTTCACCTGGTGCTGCTGTTAATATCATTCCGTTTTCTATTGTCCTGGACAAGTTGAAAAGTCTGAAACCTACAACTAAAAAGTTGAAGATGTGGAATGAGACTGACGTCACCCCTCTTGGTTGCCTAGACATTCTTGTTCAGAATCCTGCTAACACGAAAAAGTATTCTGTTGAATTTGTTGTTGTGAAAGAGAACTGTGCACCTCTCCTATGTGTCAAAACTGTTACACTCATGAACTTAGTCACAATTCATGAGAAGAATATTGAGCGTGTTGCCAATATTGAAGTTACTGAAACATTCAATGATGTGCTGGATGGTAAACTTGGTACTTTTAGTGGTGTTGTTCATCTGTCAGTTGATAGTGCGGTGAGACCAGTTGTGATGCCAAACCGTCTTGTTCCTGTTGCACTGCGCTCAAAGTTGAACACTGAGTTAGACAGACTGGAGAAGTTAGGTGTGATTGCGCCCGTCAGTGAGCCAACCCCCTGGGTAAACCAAATCGCAATTACGCCAAAGAAATCAGGTAAACTTAGAATTTGTTTGGATCCGCAACTAAACAAAGACCTTTGTAGAGAGCATTACACTCTGCCTGTGCTTGAAGATACCTTACATGAGCTA